CCAAGATTGGTTGTCACTTACCTGTGAGCCGAGCGGTGGAGTCCGGTGGAGGAGGAAGACGGCAGCCATAGCCGCGGAGCATTGACATAGAGTGCCAGAGGAGAGAGAAAGGGAGGACAGAGAAGGTGGGACTAAGGAGAGAGAAGAAGAAGTGTGGGGGAGGAGGAGGTTGGAGAAGAAGGCAGACATAGCCGGGGGTGAGCACCAAAAAAAAAATAATAATAATACAGCGGAAGTGAAGGGAAAGAAAGTGAAGGACGGGGAAGTAGACGGCGAGGGTGACGAAGGTGAAGGTGCCGGCAGCCATAACCGAGGTGAAGGGTTGACCGGGCGTTGACCAGAGGGTTGACCAAGGGTTGACCAGAGGGTTGACCAAGCATTGATCGGGGCTTGTCTGCGTTGACTCGGCATTTTCCGAGGCGTCGACCGGAGCTGCTGACCAAGATTGTGACCAAGATTGTGACCAAGCTGGAGTTGGTGATATCCCGTTGAACCCTCAGCCTATCCCCTTACCCTGTGGATGTGCACTTAACCCACAGTACTTGCTGAGTCTGTCTGTCTACTCTTTCTGCATTGAGTCTCTTCTGTCCTAGGTACTAGGAATCTGTGGATGAAGGATAGGGCCTTGCTGCCAAGCCTGCACGGGCTTAGTAGGACCAAAGCTCTACTCCCGTAGTGTCAAAGCCTCAGATAGGCTTCAGACAATACACTCGCGCCGATGGAAGAGTGCCAGGGCACTCAAGGGCACAATGGATGAGTTGGTGGCTGTTCCTGACCACAAGGTCACGGAAACCCAGTTGGTCAACCTTTTCTATCGGGCTATGCCCGAAACGCTGCGTGGTCACTTCTTTGACAAGAGTCAGGACCCTGCTATGACTTATAATATATTTAGCAGGGAAGTGGTCGCGTTCGAGGCAAAGTCTGCGTCGACTTCCACCTTCTGACACAAAGATTTAGACAAGGGCAAAAAGTGGAAGGGCCGCACTATCTCAGAGCAAGTCAAGACCAAGGATAGCCTTGTGCTCACTTTAGATGAGGGTAGTGTGGACGAGATCCCCTACGACCAGATTGAGTGGGGGTTCGAGGAGGAGGACAGTAGTGTGGGCCAGGGGAGGACTTACGCTGTTGTCGCGGCTGGAGGGAGGCCGCAAGGAGGACGAGGCCAAGGCCAAGGGGGCCGGGCCTCAGGGAGCCGGCTCCAGGGCGATCAGGGGGTTGGCGATAGAGGAGGGAACCGCCAAGCGGGAGGTAGGGGTCAAGGTCCCCCGCAAAACCGTCCTAGGAACAGGTCTCCCTATAGAGTAGGAGGATGGCACCCAGGGCTACCTCAGGGTAGGCCGTGGGAATCTTTGGGTCTGGACCAGGCTTTATGGCAACAACGATTGAACCGGGGCCAGTGCATTTTCTGCGGTGACCCGGGGCATATCATCAAAAATTGTCCTAAGTATCGAGAGACCCGAACGGCTGCTCAAGAGCCAAAAGGCAGCCGCCGGCAGGGGTAGCAACTGCCCCTACCACTAGGCCATGTGGGGAAAATAGCGCTAGCCGACAGGAGACTCCCACACCACATGTGCCTACGGCAGAGGTTGCAAGCCGGTGTCTAGACAGCTATCCCGATACTGTTTGTGTTAGAGTTTCGCTAGACACCTCCCTCACAGGCGTGGCGGAAGAGTTGAAGGAGAGGAGGCCCGCCTGGGCCAAGATGAAGAAGGAGAATAAAGGGCAGCTGATTTTATTAGATGCAGAGATTTTTAGAAGTAGAGTAGGGGCCCTAGTAGACTCAGGGGCCACCCGCAACTATATTAGTAAGCAAGCGCTGCAGAAGTTGAGGCTGGGACTTAAGGTCCAGAAACTGACAGACCCCATAGTTAGTATCCTCGCGAACAATTGTACCATGGTTGTAGAGGATTACGTAGAGGGAGTTCAGGCGTATTTCCGCCTAGAGAAAGATGGGAAGGTGGAGAAGGTGCTCCACTCCCTGACTCTCCTCGTAGAGCATAGCCTCCCGTTTGATATAGTACTGGGAATGGATTGGGGAGAGGCAGCCGGGGCAACGCTCCATCTGAAGGAGCACGARTGYAGACTCCCTAGTTCTGCAGGCGAGGCTAAGACTGCCCGCCTGTTTCATGTGTCAGGAGTAGAGAATTCCTTGGCACATTGCTGCCTTAGTGCCCCTGCGTTCGCCAGATTGGTGAAGAAGGAGAAATTAGAGGAACAAGTCTTTGTTACCTATGTTAGGCCCGTCACTGAGCCTACGGAAGAGAAGCCGATGGACCCTGCGATTGCCAAGCTGCTGGAGGAGTTTAAGGATTTGACTGAGCCGCCGACAGGCACGGTGCCGCGACCCATCCAGCACCGTATCGAGATAGACCCTGGCAGTAGAACTCCTAAGGGTGTTGTGTATAGGATGTCCCCGCGGGAGTTAGAGGAGCTTCGCAAGCAATTAGACGAGCTCCTCGATAAGGGTTGGATTAGGCCCAGTTCGTCTCCTTTCGGAGCACCTGTTCTCTTTGTTTCTAAAAAAGAGGGAGAGCTGAGAGAGGTACACCCTGATGATCAGTATAAGACAGCCTTCCGGACTAGGTACGGGCATTATGAGTTTATAGTGATGCCCTTTGGACTAACCAATGCGCCAACAACTTTTCAGCGGTGTATGAATGATTTGTTTAGGCCGTGGTTAGACAAATTCGTTGTAGTTTATCTCGATGACATCCTAGTGTTTAGCCGGACCCTCGAAGAGCATCGGGGTCATCTCAGGCAAGTCTTGGAGAAGTTGAGAGAAGTTAACTTCAAGATCAACGCAAAGAAGTGCGATTGGGCGAAGACCCGAGTTTTGTATCTAGGCCACGTCTTAGACGGAGACGGCGTTAAGCCAGAAGATAGCAAGATCGCAGCGATTAGAGATTGGCCCACGCCACGTACGCTGACAGAGTTGTGCTCGTTCATGGGCTTAGCGAATTACTACAGGAAGTTCGTAAGAAACTTCTCCACCATCGCTGCGCCCCTTCGCACATTGCTGAGAAAAGAGACAATCTGGAAGTGGGACAAGGACTGCACGTCCGCCATGAAGAAGCTAAAGCAGACGTTGATAGAGTATCCGGTCCTTAAGGTCGCCGATCAGTCCTTGCCTTTTGTTGTTACTACGGATGCTAGCCAGTACGGCATAGGCGCAGTGTTACAACAAGACGATGGCAATGGCTATAGACCCGTAGAGTTCATGTCCGCTAGGATGCCTTCAGAGAAGGTTGCGACATCTGCCTATGAGAGGAAACTCTACGCTCTCAGGCAAGCATTAGACCACTGAAAGCACTACTTGCTTGGGAGGCACTTCAAAGTCTATTCGAACCATGAAACGTTACGATGGTTAAAGACCCAGGCCAAGATGACACCTAAGCTTACTAGGTGGGCCGCAAAGATAGATCAGTACGACTTTGAGCTCCAGCCTGTCAAAGGGAAGTACAACGTAGTCGCGGATGCTCTGAGTAGGAGAGCATATTACTTTGGGGCAACAGTACATTACCTCGATATAGGAAAGGATCTGCAGCAGAAGGTTAGAGAAGCCTACGCTCAGGACCCTATCTATAGTGAGCTCCTCACGCGAGTCAAGGAGGCCCCAGAGACCGAGCCGAACTACCGCACTACTGGAGGGTTACTCTTCGAGAACACTAATGTCTTTGACCGGTTGTGCATCCCCAATAGCGAAGAGATCCGTAGTCTGATTATGGGGGAATATCACGACACAGAGGGTCATTTCGGTTGGCAAAAGACTTTGGCCAATCTGATGCGCGCGTATACCTGGCCAGGGATGAAGAATGACTGTGTAGAGTATGTTCGCAGTTGCAAAGTCTGCCAGCGTAATAAGAGTTCTACGCGCGCCCCGCTAGGTCTTCTCAGACCCTTGCCCATTCCGAATCAGCCGGGAGACTCAGTGTCAATAGATTTTATGGACACTCAAGTCAAGAGCAGGCATGGCAAGAGCCAAGTCATGGTCATAGTTGACCGCTTTAGCAAGTACGCAGTTTTTATTCCTTTGSCTTTTGAGGCGCGTACTGATTTAGTCATACAGAGGTTCTTTGACTGTTGGGTTAGTGAGAACGGAATCCCGCTGTCTATAGTTAGCGATAGAGATAGTCGCTTTACTAGCCAGAACTGGCAAGAACTCATGGGAGTATACGGATCTAAGTTGTTGATGTCGTCCGGCCACCATCCAGAGACTAACGGTAAGACAAAGCAAATGAACAAGATCCTACAACAAGTTCTGTGCATGTATATTAGGCCAGATCAGATTAACTGGGATGAGATGTTGCCTAAAGTAGCTAGTGCGTACAATAATAGCGTGCATCTAGCCACCTGCCGCACTCCCAACGAACTGCACAAGTCCTTTAGACCGCGCAGACCGTTTGAGGGACTCAACCGGGATCAGATTCAGAGATTGCCGCCCGGGACCCGGGAGTTCGCTGTACAGCACGAGAAAGAACTAGCTATTGTTGTAGAAAACCTCAGGAAAGCCCAACATAGGATGATAGAACAAGCAAACAAACATCGTCGCCCTTTACAGTTTCAAGTAGGCGACTTAGTCTGGGTTAGTTCGAAAGAGTTTGCACCTGAGGAGAACATCTCGCAGAAGTTACTGCCCACATATAGAGGACCGTGGCCTGTTCTTGAAGTCAAGGGCAGTGAAGATGGACCGTCCTATACAATAGAACTACCAGCACACCTCCACACGTATCCAGTTTTCCACGTATCGAAGTTGCTGCCTTCTCAAACAAGTGATCAGTTTCCATCCCGTAGATCAATGATCCCACCTGATATGGATGGAAGGTATGACATAGACGGTATAGTGGCTGAGGATGTCTTCAGAACCGGAGGTAGGGGTCGTCCGCAAAAACAGTACAAGGTTCATTTTAGTTATCAAGAACCGGAAGACGACCGCTGGTTTACAAGATCTGAACTTCTAGAGACAGCTCCCGATATAGTCCGGGCCTATGAAAGACAGCAGAAGGGTCAAGGTCCTGCCTTGGACTGAAATTTTCTCGGAGGACCTCGAATTTAGGCCGGCGGGAGTGAAACGGTATTCACCAGTTCGCAGTAGCAAATGCAGATCCCAGGGCTCGATCCCTAGTTCCCCATCTTACCTGTGTACAGTATTGATGACAACCCGTAGATTTGAACCTACGACCTGTCAAAACGCCAGTGGTAGGTAGATTGTCGAAGGTCACAGCTTAGAAGGGAATTGAACTGTAGACCTGTAGGGTAGGAGTCTAGACAGTTCCGAAGTCGTAGCTGTAGGATGTCTGAAGGGTCAAGGTCGTAGCTGCTACTTACCTGAAAGGGCAAAGTCGTAGCTGCTACAGTACCGAAAGGCCAAAGTACAAGTTTCTAGAACTGGCCTTTCGGAGTCAGCCCCTGTTTAGGCCGAGGCAAGTGGGCAAGTGGTGTAGGTCCACTACGTAGAGTCAGCAGTCCCAGGTAGCCCAGTCCGGTCCAGTCAAGCAAGTACCGTCTGGGACTGTGCACATCGTGGGCCAGGGGATACAGGGCAGACCAACGCCGCACAGAAGTATAAATCAAGACGCTGCGTCCAGCCATTCATTCATTCATTCCTGTGGATGCCATGCGGAAGCGCTGCCTCAGCAGCTTGTGCGAGGAGGTCTGCAGTGCGTCCGAAGACGAAGAGGGCAGTGAAGTGTAGTGTAGCGATAGGATAGTGGCAGCCATAGCTGCCATAGCTATAGTAGCGTGTGTGTGTGTGTGTGTTGTGTGTAGAGTGTTGCGTGTGGGACATCCAGGGTGATCCAGAGTGCGAACAGTGAGTTGTGTGGGCGCTCAGTCGCCATAGCCAGTTTGAAGGGAACTCCTACCTGGTTACGATATCCTTGAGTACTGTGTGGGCGCATGTCGCCAGTTTGCTGTTTCGCTGTTTGCATGCATGACAAGTGTGAAGAAGTCTAGTCTGATTGCACGTTCGCTAACTGCAAGGAATATGAGCGAGAGCAATAGACAGAAAAGCAGGTTGCAAAATCACGAGCTAGTCCAGATAGTTGTCATGTACCAAGCAGAGAGCACAATGCACCAAGATACCATCCGTGTATAAGAGCAACACACTGAACTCCAGTGCCAATGCCGACGCTCTCTGGTCACACCAACACTGTATCCAATGTTCCCCCCCTACTGCCTGCCGCCCAGCGCCCGGCCTACACTACTCAGCCTGGGTCGGCATTGGTGATGACGTCACATGCATTGGTTCTCTTATCAACGTTCACGTGACTGGATCACATCGAAGTTGCGGGCCAAATTAATTGCATGTGACGTCAACAACCATAGCGCCCACGTGCACAGGTCGGCATAAATACTTATGCGTGATGACGTCACATGCATAGTGCCCACGTGCACAGCTCGGCATAAATAATTATGCGTGATGACGTCACATGCATAGCGCCCACGTGCACGCTCGACAAATGCGCCCACGTGCTCGATATTCTCTTGACAATCGTTATAATCATGAGGAGAGCATAAATACTCACCTCCTCCATGCCCTCATCATCATCCGACGTCTGATTCCGTCATCTGCTGCACATGATTGCTACCGCCGTCTTGTTTACCCTCCGTGTATATTAAGTGCAATACAATGAACCTCGAGTGCCAATGCCGTTGGTGACTTGTGCTCTCTGCTTGTTGACCGAGCCGTTGAGGGGGAGATGACAATGGCATCACCCCATCATGCAGGCCACCCTTATTGTGTCTCTCCCACATCTTCTTCGGCACTCAGACCCTTCCCTTCTTCATAAGCGCTGTCGTCGTCATCGCACACACACCGTCATCAGCAGAGTGGTCGCCACGCTTACATTCCTGATGAGCACAAGTATGGTTACCTTTCCGTTCCCCACACGTGTGGGGTCCTCACTCTGTGGGGCTTCTGTTTGATCACTCCTCCCGTTGATAGAGCCACCGTGTTCGCTTCAACCTTATAAAATTTAATAAGAAAAAACAAAACTTAAAAACAGCCAAACAAGATAGAAATTCCACTCAAGTATGCCACGGGCTTGGTCTCGTGCTCCATCCACACCCACACTCAGCTGCTCGACACTGGAGTCATGTCTCATCTCTCCTCTTCGGACCCACGAAACCAAACGGGCGCTAACCCAATACCTCTCTGAGAGAGAAAGGGTGAGCAACCTGTCGTGAGAGTCACTCCCAGCGGTGAAGGGGAGGAGTGCGAACCACCGTCATGACCTCCTTGCCTAGAGGAGAAGGGTGGAGTGGAAGGTGCAGCGAAGATGCTTGCAAAAAGGCTGATCAGCTCTGAGACTCCTTCATATTGGAAATCTGCAAACTGCAACATCTTCGTTCAACCAGACGTAGATTTTGCATCGCCACACAGGTTTTCGACAACTTTGCATCGCCACACTGACTTTCGACGAATTGGGGCTAAAGAAAAAATTCGACAGGTGTCAGAACGGTACGCTCGACGGCCACCCACCCTCCCCCATAATGTTCGTTTTTCCTCCCGCCTGCAGGACACTGAAATTCGAAATTCGACAGTTTACCCCCTCTCCCCCTCCCTCTTTCGAGAATTGCGTTCGAATTTGCTTTGTCAGGTTGGCAAATAGCCCCAAAACTGATCAGCGTCAAGATTTTGGAAAACTCCGCACTGTGAGAAAGCTGAGGGTTATCTACTCCCCCCCCTCTTGGAGGGTCCACCACAAACCCCTCAAGGAAGGACAACAAAGAAATTGAATGTGGCCTGAAGGAATGGCGCTGCTTGCAAGAAGAACCTAAATAAATCATCATGCCAAACAATTCAACCCCTCTGCAGAATGTGCCTTCCTCAGACCATTTTTGAGCAACCCTTTTTTTTTTTTTTTTAATATAAAAAAAAGCAAAGCAGGCCCTTTCGGTTTCATCAGGCCGTCTCACCGTGTGCTGTATGTAAGCTTGTTGCCTGCCAATGACTGGCATTTTAGCTGATTTATTTTTCTTTCCAAGAGGTAGAAATTGCATGCTGCTATTTGAGTTACAATCTCCTGTACCCTTTCTCATCTCCCATAGCTATCGTCTTTCACCCGAATAGAACGCCCAGTCATATTATTAGCTGTAATTTGGGGCAACTTTCAGTCCAGATATGGCAATAATTACCCGGTGTTCTATTCGGGAGGAAGACCGTAGGGCAGGCTGAAAGACCGGCAAACAAATATTAAAGTTTTCAAAAAAATAATCTCGGAAAATGGCTTGGCTACAAACTCGCCATGGAATCTTACACCTTGACTTACACCTTCACACCATCTTCAGACTCGGCATGGAATCTTCTTGTGATGCTGTTATTCGAGTAATGAGCTTCTTCAAAATCGCTCGCGAAGATTCCGAAGAGGGAGGGGTATCACGCAGCACTCACAGAGCTCTTCATCCGCATGCATTTCCCTGCTGCCTCTCTTGAGGTCCCAACTTGCATGCACCTATTCACGTAATGAGCTTCTCTGTGCGGATCACGCCGCCTGTAAAGAGCTCTCCATGCATGCATTTCCCTGCAGCTGCCTTTGTTGAAGTTCGGTCTCCTTCAAAACCATACGATCGATATAACGTTCTCCACAAACTCTTTCCATAACGTTCTCCACATACTTTGTGAATGTGAATGGGACGCTGGACCCCGTTTCCAGCAGGTGCTGCTCACCACCAATAGACGGAGCTTTTTCGTGTTAAAA